GTTTCCTTCAAGTATCTTGGGGGGATGGAGAGGCTCCTTCTTTAGCCAGCTGAAGACAAAATGGAGGGGTCTCCCACAGGTTTAAATAGACTTTCTCTTGTGGGTGGAGACCCCCCTCCTCCCTCCTATGCAAAGTCCAGCTCCAAGATGGAGTTTTGGAGTCACCTGGGCAAGTCACATGTCCCTGCATGACTCAGTCTTTACAGGCCGAAGCCATTGTCCACATGGTATCTTGTATGTCTCCAGGAAGACTTCTTATGTGGATTGGAACATTCCAAGATGCATTGTTCCCCAAGTGTTTCCTGATCAGGTACTTAACCTTGCAAATTCCTTCCTAAAGAAACTGATCAAATGCCTCACAAAGCTTACTTAGAAACCAAGCAAGCATACAGCCCATATTCTTAACCTCAAGTAGAAAATGATATATGTGTACAGATAGGATGAATAGATATAGTAGACCATAACCTTTACGGAGATATATTACATGGCACAGGCAGCACAAAACATATTCCAGTTATGTCATACATACATTTATAAGCACCCCCCCCCATAAAGCCTTATGGGGTACACTGTCACACGTACATCAAGGCTATATCTACACTGCACACCTTACAATGGCGCATCTGTGCCACTGCAGCCGCACCATTGTAAGGTGTGCTGTGTAGCCGCGCTTTATAAAACCACCTCCAACGAAGGGCAGTAGCTTTGTCACCTGGAGCGCAGCTCCCACCAACGAAGTGCTGTCCACACTGGTGCTTTTTGTCGTTAAAATTTTTGTCACTCAGAGGGGTGTTTTTTTCATTCCCCGAAGCGACAAAAGTTTTAATGATGAAAGTGCCAGTGTAGACTTAGCCTGAGATCCAGTTACCATCAGCCTTCCCTCAGAATCTGCCTCACAGCACAGCCGGGGGCACATGCCTCCACCTGCCCGTCTAGGTTTCATTACTGTGTTCCTTAGTCTGAAGAAGCTTGCAAAATGGTGATCATTGTATAGTAGACTATCTGGAGAACGCTGCAGCTAGGGTGACCAGATGTCCCGATTTTATAGGGACAGTCCCGATTTTTGGGTCTTTTTCTTATATAGGATCCTATTACCCCCACCCCCTGTCCCGATTTTTCACATTTGCTGTCTGGTCACCCTAGCTGCAGCATGCTCTCTGCTGGGAGCCTCACTGCTTGCAGTATGCCAGGTGTAACCCTGTGACTGCTCTGAGTGAAACTGAGTCACTTGGACTTTCCTTAACACAGAGAAAGGCCATCCCCAGTGAAAAAAACGTAGCTTATTATCATGCCCTTCCCTCCTTTGCTGAACTAAAGTAATCCTTCAGCTTTTTAGGAAGCCAAAAATACACGTTTTGTGCCACTCTGGTGACACTCAGCTAATGCTGCTGTTTTTGTTTTGTTTTGTTTTATATACGCTCTCAGCTTTAGTCAGATTCTGAGTGCTTTGAGTTGGTGCCATTCATCAGGTAGAGATTTATAAATGAGCAGTTTGAGTCTTTCAACTCACTAGCTCTAGGCAGGGCTTGCAATTGTACAGGGGCATATTAAAATTAAAGGAAAAGGTGGAGAAGGTTGCAGTTGTTTGTTACAACAAAACTTTTCTAAAGTTACAGTGCCATCTATGAACTATGTTGTGATCCTAGAATAATGCTGGCTGTAAATGTGGAGGAGACCAAAAGTAGTTGGATTTGGTTCCCTTTTATTAGCTGGATACTAAAAATGGCAAAGTTCTGTGGCCACAGTGATGTTTTACATTCTCAGTTCACAAGTACATCACAAGGTTCTACTGATGTCACACATGACAGGAGGGCTCCCTAAAAATCCTGCTGCAAGAGCCTTCTCCTCTGCAGCTCCTGTCAGTTGGAAGGGTCATCCTGCATCTTGCAATATTTTCTTTGTTTGCTTTTCTTTGCAAATAATATCTAAAAACATCTCTTCCTCTCAGCTTTTAACTCTATCCCTCTTTTTCTGTTGTTTTTTTAAGATTCTGTATCACTTTGGGATTTCATACGTTTGTATGAAAGATGCTATGCCAAATACAGTACCGGTATATTATTTTTGTTTATTAATTGAATTGATGCATGATGTATAGAGTACTCAAAAGTGTTGGGCATTGTATAGACATAAACTAAGGGAAGTCTCTGCCGCAAAGAGCTTACCATCTAAGTGCAGGTAATATACTTTGTTTGGAGCAGGAACTGTGTTTTTGTTCTGTGTTTGCGCAGCGCCTGGGCCATGACGTGGGCTCTTCACAGTATACAAATAAATAAATAACAACAAACATCAGGAACTACATTTTAGGCCTCAATCTCACAAATCCTTAAGCATGTGCGTAACTTTATAAACATGAATAGTCCTACTGACGTCACCGTTAGTTCCTTCTGTTCACATGAGTTAATTGCACATATTTAATAGTTTGCTGAATCAAGACCACTATTTGTTTTTTAGCTACCCCAGACTATCAGTTCATGCAAACAGTGTTTTCTGCTAGGTGGTTGAAAGTCTTCAGTGTAGTCAGAGCCTTGTTCAGAACTACAATATGACTCTTCCTCTGGCATGTGTAGGGAAAAGGGATTCAAATCAGCACTTGCATTATTTTCCTTCGGGAATCAACATTTGCAGTGCACAGTAGCCAAGAACTGTTTCAGTCAATAAAATGTGCCCTTGATAATTCTCTTGTTTCAGATCTCTAATCTCACTTTAATTAGTGTTGTACACAACAGCGCCAATCAATGTAAGTCAGCAGCAAACATTACCATCTGCATTCATCATTAGCATCAACCAGCATGGTAATCTGCAGTTTTAGACTAATGCATGAGCTCATGGGACTCTAGTGTCTGTTCAGAAACAAAGACCTCTTTTCCTTCCACCGTTTAGCTTTTGAAACCTATCATTCCTTCTGCCTCAGAACTTCCAAAAGATGAAGTATTTCCATGACTTCCATTGTAATTTGTTTCACTTCTGGAGTAAGAGTTTCTTGCTCATTCTCTGCTTTGCAAAAAATGAAGTCATGTGTTTGGAGATAATTAATTGTGGATGGATTCAGAATCTACTGTATGTAACCAATACTCGGCATTGTTGCCAGCTCTGTGGACAGGTCTATAAGGCTGTTACTGCCTTTCATATCAAGGTACATTATTATTTAATTGACTTGTTCAGAAAATGCTTTTGTTTAATACATGTGAGCCCTCATGGCATTTAGTAAAAGTCAGAGCTTCGCTTCCTGATAATTTATCTTTTAAAGCCAATTATAAACAAGTTATTGGTTTAAAACTGGTAAGGGCACTGCCACATCTCCAGATGTGATTTTCCATTAATTTCTCAAGGAAAGCAAGACTTCACTCGTTTCTTAGCTATCAGAATATGCTGTTTGGATTGATGTAGCTCTTGATTGTAGGCTTATACTGCAGAGCAGCAGATGACCCACTACTGGCAAGGGCCCTTTAAAGACCATATATTTAATTAATTTGTTACATTCCAATTGCTGACTAAGATTTTAAGGGGTTTCTGTATCTTCACTGGGCATTTGCTTCTGCAGTAAAAGGACGTAAGTGTTATCCATGCTCAAAGCACATTGAAAAAGGAAAAAGAACAGGAGTACTTGTGGCACCTTAGAGACTAACAAATTTATTAGTCTCTAAGGTGCCACAAGTACTCCTGTTCTTTTTGCGGATACAGACTAACACGGCTGCTACTCTGAAACCTGTCATTGAAAAAGGAAGACGCAAGTGAAATCAGCCCCACCGATCGCATAAAGTTCAATGAAATCATGCCAGATCTTTTATTGTCTTTACCCATCTAAGATGGGTGACTGGAGCGGCTGCACTACATAAAAGAACCCTCTCCGGTAGTCACTTTGCTAAAGATGCACGATGCACATCTATAGTCTCCCTAAGAGAAGATACTCTTTTAATGTATTTTTCCTCCTTACATAATTTCATCCAGAATGAGTGCTTGCAGCTATGAAAGGACTGTGGTTGTAGAGATACAACCTAAAGCAACACAGTAACAACCGTGACAACTCATTTTAAAAACATTCTTTTCATTAAAGGAAGTAGCCTAGAGTGTTTTAAATCTACCCATAATGCTTCTATAACCATTCTATGCAATTACACTACAATGGGCAACAATTAATTGTATTAAATCCTTCATATGGAAATGTTTACTAATAAAGATGTTCAAACCTTTTCCCCTAACAATAGGGGATACAAATTAGTACATACCCCTTGGGACCACGCTAAACTAGGAATTCCGCATTTAGGAGTTATAATCAGATTTTTTTTCCACAGGAGAAGAAATGTTAATTCCAGTTTATTGGGTTCTTAAAACTGTATTTTACTAGGAGAAACCTTTCCTATTTGTTTTCCACTGGAAAAAACTGAGGGCAAGACCCTCCAACTGGATTCATAGAGACAGACCTCTGCACTTCCATGGAGCCCCTTGAAGGTCAATGAGACTGCATGCAGATACAAACACCCTACCTGCACAAATCCAGTTGCAGGATCTGGCCCAAGGGTACATAATCTGGCTTTACTTGTAACTAAAGGCAAAACTCTCATTGACTTCAATGGAACTAGAATTTGACCGTAAAAAATTTAGCATTCTCTTCTTTCTAGTTAGTTGTCATACTGTCCTCGTTACATCTTTCACATGTGCTCAGATACAATGGTATGTTTTGTAGGAAGATAAGAAGGGGACACCATTATAATCATAAATTGTCACAGACATGAGTCTAAACGTTACGAGCGAGAGATTTCTGTAAAACAAATGCATGGTACTGCGTATATTTTATCCACTAAGCTCTGAAACTCTCCAATTAATGCATAAACATTATGAAATAAAATAGGAAATAAGGTAGTTTAAATTACGAAGAGGTAATTCTTATGATCCCTATTAAAGGAATAAGAGGGGCTTAAACTACAAGAAGTTGTTCAGTAGTAAATGCTGTCAAGACTGGTATAATTGCCTGTTTTCATGCCCTTATTTTCCTTCCCCAGAGCTATGTTTGACTATGACAAAAGCAAGGACAGTGGCCTCCCAAGTCAAGGACTCAGTTTCAAATTCGGAGACATCCTCCATGTTATTAACGCCTCTGATGATGAGTGGTGGCAGGCGAGGAGGGTCACTCAGGAAGGAGACAGCGAGGAGATGGGAGTTATACCCAGCAAAAGGAGGTATGTGTAATTGCTGCTTTACTACTTCACTTGGCACAAATGTACAAAAGTTTGAGTTTTATTCCAAAACCAATGTGCACTAATCTAAAAAAATATAGGAGAGGGTGCAAAGAAGAGCCATAAAAATTATTCAAGGGCTGGGAAAAGTGTCTTAAAGAATTCAATCTGTTCAGTTTATCAAAAAGAAGATCAAGAGGTGACTTGATTAGGTTGTATACATACCTTTTGGGGAGAACATACCAGGTAGTAAAAATCTCTAGCAGAGAAAGGCATAACCAGGACAAGGGGCTGGAAGTTAAAGCCAGACAAATAGAAATTAGCTAAATCTCTAAAATAAATCTCAATATATCTTTGTTTAGCTGTGCTGGACTCATGGGGAAATGTACCATCTGATGTTACTGATATTTGTTACTGTCTATGCTGCCTGATGGGTTTCCTTAGTGAAGTAGTTGTTGGTTTCATCAAATATCAAAACTGCCACTGAAATTGATATTAGTTGGTACCTTCGTTGATAATTTCAGTAGAGAGGTAAAAAACTGAAGTGGCATGAAGGAGAATGAATTTCTCCTTTGGAATATTACTTCTAGGCCAGTTATAAACCTTCTATCTACAGTAATTTCAATTCTAGAGTTAATAAAAATGGTTGCACAAATTTGTTATAAAGAGATAAATTGGATTGCGGATCGCCGGCAGAGCACCTGGTATTGTTCCACGGAGAACTGGCTGATCACAGGATACTAACCCTGCTCATTGGTTTTGCCATGTTAAATAATGGAGACTTCAAAATGCCCTCAGGGCACGTCTTCACTACCCGCCGGATCGGCGGGTAGCAATTGATCTATTGGGGATCGACTTATCGCGTTTAGTGAAGACGCGATAAAATCGATCCCCGATGGCTCTGCCGTCGACTCCGGAAATCCACCGCGGCAAGAGGCGGAAGCGAAGTCGACGGCAGCGCGGCAGCGGTCGACTTGCCGCCGTCCTCACAGCCAGGTAAGTCGACCTAAAATACGCAACTTCAGCTAGGCTATTCACGTAGCTGAAGTTGCGTATCTTAGGTCGCCCCCCCCCCCCCCCGTAGTGTAGACCTAGATATCACATTGCCATGGGCTTTGGTAGGTATCTAGATACTGAAAAAATATAGTAAACACTTTCCTAATGTTAATCTTCCATGTAAACTGTTGCTATGATTGCCATAGTGGGTTTTATGGGATTATGAATGCATGAGTGCTGGTCCGTGCAATCATGAATGGAAGCAGGTGGAATTTATAAGACAGTCTCTCTCTTAAGATGTGGTTCATAGTATAAAAAGGTACGAACCCTTGAACTTTATGATATACAGAGTAAGGAAGTGGGGAAACAACTGATTAAATGGTGAAGTTAGACATGTCTCTTGTTGGTTCCACATGTGTAGGTGTGAATGTGTGTGTGATCTTTTTCTGTAGGTGGGAGAGGATGCATGGGCCTAAGGTTTATTGACCTACTTGCAGAAGAGTGTTTTCAGGAGGGACAAATATGTGGAGACATGTTGCACCCACTCAGGGTCTGGGCTGCAGGGCATATGGGGCAGCATGAAGGAAGATATGGAGACAGAAGTGGGAGAAAGATGTGGTTTGTTCTACAACTTAGGCAGAGTGGAGAGGGATGCAAAATGAGATGAGAGCAGAGAAGTAAGCAGGAAATAGGTTGCATAGAGTCTTGAAACATGAAGCTTGAATTTGTAACACTGCCAGTACAGCTACAGTGGTCTCATGGGGGGTGGGATAGCTCAGTGGTTTGAGCATTGGCCTGCTAAACCCAGGGTTGTGAGTTTAATCCTTGAGGGGGCCACTTAGGGATCTGGGGCAAAATCAGTACTTGGTCCTGCTAGCGAAGGCAGGGGGCTGGACTCGATGACTTTTCAAGGTCCCTTCCAGTTCTAGGAGATAGGATATCTCCATTAATTTATTTTATTTATTTGTTTTTTATTTACCCCTCATGCCACTGCATCAGCAGTGAATTGGAGAAGCCGGGGGGGAATGGAATCTGCCTGTTCCAATGGTTCCAAATTGAGATCACATTTTTCTCTCCAATAATTGTTTCTCCCAACACATTCTAGGAGTATAAATAAATGGAACAAAAAGCTGGATAATGTCATCTAAATGCTATTCAGCTTATTCTGGCAAGGCCATTCTTCATTATGGTGGGGCTAGGCCCTTTTCCCATAACAGTGAAGTTTTTCTCCAGCAAATCCTTCCCTGAAATGTGAGCAGCCCATGTTAATGCCATACCATTCAAGGTTAATTCAGTGTTTCTAATATAAATACTGTTGTTCATAAATCTAACACTGACTAGATCCTCCCATGAGCCGGGGTATGATTTTCCACATTTAAAAAGTCCTCTCCATGGTCCCACTTTAAAAATGTATTGAAGTAATGCTAGGGTTACCATATGTCCGGATTTTCCCAGACATGTCCGGCTTTTTGGTCCTCAAATAACCGTCCGGGAGGAAATTCCAAAAAGCCGGACATGTCCGTGAAAATAGGGAGGGGTCATGGGGCTCGGGTCCGGGCTGGAGCCGCTGGGGCCGGAGCCGGAGCCGCTGGGGCCAGCCGTGCTTGGCCGCCGGCCGGCGCCGCTCGGCCAGGGCCGGGCCGGAGCTGCTCGGCCGGAACCGGGGCCCGAGCCGAGCCGGGCCGGAGCCGCTGGGACTGGGGCTCGGGGTGCTCGGCTGCCGGCCGGCGCTGCTCGGCCGGGGCCGGGCTGGAGCCACTTGGCCGGAACCAGGGCCCGAGCCGGGCCGGAGCCACTGGGACCGGGGCAGGGGGTGCTGGGCCTCCGGCCGGCGCTGCTCAGCCAGGGCCGGGGCCGGGCCAGAGCCGCTCGGCCGGAACCAGGGCCCGAGCCGAGCCGGGCTGGAGCCCCTGGGACTGGGGCTGGGGGTGCTCGGCCGCCGGCCGGCCCCAGTGAAGTCAATGGGAGTCTTTCCATTGACTTCAACTGGCTTTACGTTGAGTTGCCACTTTATAAAATTAAATATTGGTCGTTTAAATTAAAAACTGAAAAAAACAATCAGATTACATTATGAACCAATCACTAGCCAAGTTTCCTCTTGTTGTATACATGACATTATTTATGTACAAATTGCAATACATGTACTAAAAAAAAAGCCACACACGCTTAAAATCTAACAGCAACATCTTTCCCATGTGCTAGATGGTGGTATAACAGAGGGGAGGGGATCAGTGGCAGCTATGTGTTAGAGCCTGAGCCATTTTGCTGGTTTGCAGACTCATATGGTTCCATCAGGTAGGGGAAGAATGTATTCTGGGGGCTGTTTTGTGCAGCCATGTGGAAATTTTATTAATATCTCTCCTCCAGTTTATAAACATTTCAGGCACCCAGGCAGGAAACCATAAAGAAGAGGTGACAAATAGCATTTCAGAAGCAAATAGCAAATAGTCAAAGACATACTTAAAGCAAATAGGTGGTGAATAGCCCAAAGACTAAAAAATAGGTGTTGGCTCCGGCTACTTTGAACACCTAGTGTTGGAGCCTTATACTGGCAGTATCTACACTCTAAATCTACATTCCAGACATTTGAGGATTTCCACCCTTGCTTTTGAATCCGCAAGTGACTGTACCTTTCCTTTGATGGGCTCTACAAAGTGCAACTCATTCCTTATGGAATCCTTCTCATTTATCCCTCTCACCTTTAAAAAACATTTTAAAGTGCCCCCCCCCCAAAAAACCCAAACAATTTCCGTAGACCCATCACAATTGGCCCTATATTTACCAAAGTTCCTTTCAATTCCTCTTTTTCCTTTTTTTGCACTTGGACCCCCTCACTTTGTTTGTATTTTATGAGGGTGGCATATTATGCTGTTATGTACAGCACTCTGAGCACTTTGGCCCTTCTGATCATCCAGATTGACCTCCTGTACAATTAATACATTAATTATAACTGAATACAATAGAACATAACCTTTATTTTCTTGCAGTACTGAAGCCATTGACCTCTTCCATAATAGTTCTTCACTACAGTATATACTCTGGGAGCAATTAATATAATTAAGTTCTTACTTAGGGATATGTCTATGAAAATCATAGTGCCTGATTTTACCATTTTTCCCACATTTTTTGGAATGGAGCCGTTCAAACAGGCACATTAAAGCATGAGCAGATAAGAGAAATTTCCAGTGCTAAATCAAGACTCAGTTTTCTTTTCCCTTTTATTTTATAATGGATGTGGTAGACCAGAAGAGGTCGTAATTTATAGCTACCAGGGAATTGCTGCCCATTACTCACTCTGGGATGGTGTGTAGTTTCCAGCCCTTAACTGTCAATCAATTACATGGAGCTTGAAAGCAATTTGTCATTAGATTTAATCGTGGTCACTTCCATGTGGATTTGTTATTTTGTTTACAACTCAGAAGCCCTCCTTTAAGAGCGAATTTGGATCCTGTAGCACTGTGTCACAGAGACAGGCAGTTTAATTCTGTATTGAACAAGCAGAGTACCATGGTCCTGGCCCATCTATGTCCCTCTCATTAAGGGCCTGATCCTGTGAATTGGTTAGAGTTTTTAACTGCCATTGACTCAAGTGGGAATTGAGGTGAGAGTGGTCAATGCCTCGCACAATTGGGATCTCACTGATCATGGCTTTGGCTTTAGAGGAAGCAGTTCACTTACTCTTAAAGACAAAACTGCTCCTATTTTGGCCAGAGGTCCAAAAATTCTTTTGGATACCAAGCTCTGGTCACCATGAAGATGTATGTTTCTAATTACAGTTGTAACGTACCCTCATGCTGGGTGGGTGAGCAGCATGGCCCTCTTGCTGTGAAGTGAAGTCACTTTGACACTGATGACATTACGCTTAGTGAAAGAGACCATGAACCAGTTTTTAGCCTGCTGGTGTAACCATCAGACAGGAAATATTATTCTTTAACACGTAAGAATGAAACACTGCACGCCAACTTCCACACTGCTTTACACCCACCACGAAGCTCTGTCAAAGTCAA